GTACTAACTGAGAGTAGATTGAATGTAAAACTTGGAATGTGGAGTACATTCATTAGGGTGAGGTTTTGGTTGATCTGGACTGTTCCAGTGTGACTGACCTGGACTCTAGTGCCAGTGGGCAGAGTAACAAAGACATTATCTACTGGTTGGTAGGATGAGAAAAGGGACAGTTTGCAGCACATATGGTCAGATGCACCAGTATCAATGATCCATGTGTTCATTAGTTCTAAATGTTGTAGGGAAGAGAAAGAAGATAGTGTGTATTTACCTGCATTGTTTGGCATGGGAGTTAGATGCCTTGACACTGAGTGAGCTTGTGGCTGAATTGCAGGTTGTGGTTGATTGCTCCCAGCAGTTTGTTGCAGTAACATCATCAGCCTGTTACAGTCATCAGCAGTGAGCTTCAAGGTTGTTACATTGTTTGATTTGTAGGGGTGCTCATTGTCTCCACTAGGGTTGTCTGAGCCTTGCTCACTGGGGCCACCATTGTTGATTGCTGCTGCTGCATAAGCTTGCCCAGGCATTTCTCCTCTCTTCCTCTTTAGTTTCCAGCAGTCTGCTATGTTGTGGTTGGTTTTCTTGCAGTAGTTGCAGAAGAGACCCTGCTGGTTGTTGCTGGTGTTGTCATTGTTGCTCCTCGGGTTGCCACTTCCAGGGTAGCTCCCCTGGTATGTGTTTGTTCTGTTCCCACGAGGGTAGTCAGGTCTTTGATCCTTTCCCTTGCTTGAATTCACAGCTGCTAGAGCTAGAGAATCCACTCCAGTCACTTATTTTGTAGGCTGTTTGCCCATCTGTCTCTCAAGTTTGAGAGCATGTTTGTAGGCTAGCTTCAAGCTTGGGGCAGGATCCATCAGCAGTAGCTGATTCTTGGTGAGTTCAAAAGAGTCACTTAGACCAATGATAAAATCAATAGTGTGGTCCTGTTCCTGAGACTCCTTAACAGCTGCATAGGTTGCACAGGACATTGTGTGTGGCATACCACTACATTCACAAGCAGGTATGGACTTAAACGACAGATATTCAGTCCATAGGACTCCTAGCCTGTTGTAATACTCAGTCACATTGTTATCTCCTTGTTTGCAGTTGGCAATCAGCCCTTTAACATGAGCCAAGCGAATGGAGTCAGCTTCTCCATATCGCTCCTGAAGATCCTTCCACAGATCTTGGGCTGTCTCGTTATCCATAACAGCTTCAGCTATGGAGTCGAGCAGAGAGTTAAGGATCCAACCCATAACGTTGGTATTACTCTGATCCCAAGCTTCATAGTCAGGGTCGGTTTCTTCAGGCATAGGTAATGTACCATTAGTGAACCCAAGTTTCTTCTTGGTTTTTAAAGCTATCCTCATAGATCTACTCCATACATGATAGTTAGATCCATCGAGTTTTACTGAGATGATACCTTGTGACAGGTTTTCGTTGGGGTTGACGTAGTATGGGTCGATCGGAAGTCGTGGGAGTGGCTGAGGATTTGCTCCTGCAACGGCAGCAGCTCCTGTTGTAGCAGAGGAGGTGTCATCCATGTTGGTAGCCATGGCGGCGCGTTTGCAAGGTCACTGAACCCTAGGTGAGGTGAGCCAGAGGCTCTGATACCATGAGAATAATTGGAAAGAGAAGGCAGGAATTTTGTGAAACCTTTTCTGCATTTCACTGACAGCTCAGCTGCAGAATATATACATCAGCAGGACAGAGTGCCTCTAACGGCCTCATCCTCTTGTCAAGTGACAAGTGGCCCTATCTAGTAATTACATGTAATATTCACAGACTAAAACTAAATATGTGCAGTAAAGTTGGGACGGCAGCGTATTAGTCCAAACGCTGTTCTTCATCTTCTTCTTCTTCCTCTGCCTTGAATTCTCGACCGTTGGAACTTTCCCCTTCTTCTTCTTCTCTTTGCTTCAAGGCAGAGTGTCCCATTCCACTTGACAATGAGAGCATCTAGGGATGCCGAGACTTGACGCACACAATCTCATCCTCAGTTCTAATTATTGCTAAACTTCCGTTTCTAGCGAAAAAATAAGATCAATCTGCAAAGGAGAATTGAAAAGCACGCAAAATAAGAAGAAAAATATAGATGCAGTAACTGCAAGAGTGATGAACCGTACCCCAACCAGAGGGAAACCGACGATCATCAAGGCATTTTATAGTGTCTTACCCACGGATTTTGGCGCAAGGTACGGACAAATAGCAGTGGCGAGAAACATAGCCGCTGAGCAGCAACAGAGCTGCAAGTGATCCTCCCTCGGCAGACTGGCGAGATTCGTCCATTTCACCGCATCCGAAAACCTAATCACAGCTTTCTGCGCGCCGGTTAGCTCTTCTAACTCGTCTCCGTGATGGTGATGATGGTGGCCGCGGCCGTGATTATGGTGGTGTCGATGGTCCTCATGCTGATTACGGTGGGTATCTTCGTGGTGGCTGTGGCTATGGGGGTGATAGTGGTGGTGATTCGCTGCCTCGACAATGCAACGGGCGACGAAATGGCGGTGGAAATTGGAGGGAATGAGAAGGTTACGAAGAGGAAGAGAAGGCAGCGAGCGGAGCCGACGTAGCCTGGAGGAGGAACGGAGTGGGGGGGGGGGGGGGGGGAGTCGATCACGCCAAAATCGTGGCGGACGGCGGTGGAGGCTTCCATGGATTGCGGAGTGAAAGAAGAGGTTCAGGTGAAATTCGGATGAGAAATAATGACGGTGGTCGGCGGAGAAGAAACGGAAGAGAAGTCTGAAAAGTTGCAGAGGAAGGAAACAAAGTGGTAGCTGGTGGTAGGGGTGTACATGGGTCGGGTGGTCCGGGTTTAGGTATTTTAATCACCCGATTCATGCATTACGGTTTGAGAAATATTAAACCCAAACCCACCCAAAAAATCTAAACCCTACGGTTTGTTTCTAATTGGGTTGGGTCGGGTTGGCGATATTTTTAAGTAAAAACCCAACCCAACACAAAATATGTAATTATTCTACGTCATAAAAATATTTTATAACAAATTAAAAATTCAAACGAATTAATCGAGGTGAAAGGTATCAAAATTCAAAAATATTGTTTGAATTTTAATAAAACTTGATTTACTTCAACTTATGTCTAGTTTTTTTCACGACATTTGTTGAAATAGGCTAATAAGGTTACAAATGAACGCATCCATAATATGATATTCTTTTAAAATTATACACAAGAAAAATAAATTACGTGAATCATAGTTATTTTAAATATATGTCTAAACTTTAAGTCGAAGAATGCATTAGATTAGTGAGACTTTAAGAGAAAAACATGGCGAAATATCTTAATTTTCTCATAAGTATGACTATATACGACATAAATATTTTTTTGGATACGAACTCATACCAATAATTGGAACACGGGTTGGGTCGGGTTCTACCGGTTGTGTAATCCAAAATCCAAACCCAACCCAAAAGAGGGGGTTGTACAAAAGAAAACCCTCACCCAACCCAAAACCTTCGATTTAGTGATAAATATGGGTGGGTTGGGTCGGCTTGGACGGGTGGGTCGGTTTGCGGGTGTGTTTGTTCACCCCTAGCTGGTGGGGCTCTGAGACGTACGACTTGGAAACGGTCCGGTTTAACTGGATCGGTTTGATACGGGTTTTTACGCATCGCTGCGAGTGGAGTTGAATTCTGTTTCATTTTATTTGGCTAAATTGCAAGTTTGGTCACTTGAATTACTAATAAATTTTATGTTAGCCACTGGAATTACTTTATTCCATCGGTAGTCACTTAAAATGGGTTAATAGTCTAAGTTTGGTCACTGGCCGTTAGTCTCCGTTAACTTTTGCTGATGTGGCGGTCAACTCTAATAGTTGACCGTTAAATGAGTGACGTGGCAATTTAAAAAAATAAAAAATAACTATTATTATTTTCCACCTCATTATCAAAATTATTAAAAAAAATAAAACCTTTCATGCTTGGATCGATTCTAACAATTGTCAGTTGGAATATCGAGATAAGAGTAACGGTTTGGCCAATCAGGATTTCTCGCTCATCTATCCCCCTCTTACATACAAAGATTTCGGTGTAGAGGAAGCATGGCATAGCAGTTGCAGTAGAGGCGGTGTCGATAGCAGAGAAGGAGAGGCGAGAGCATTTTGGGCTGCTGAGGAGACCTCTCCCACACGGAGATAGATCTGGTGTTGAGAGCTTCTGCATTCGGTAAAGCTCACAAAAGTGACCCAGAAATCAATAAGTCCATAGAATTAGTTGCAATTGGGCTCTGATTCTTTGGCCAAAGAAACAGAGGCGGATGGGTTATGCTATCTGTGTTTTGGCTTTGGGGTTTTGTTTGTTCAACATGTCAATCGAATCTTATATGGGTGTCATTGGATGGGTAAACCTTACTATTGCTTCCTCCACCTTCCGATATCGTCGGGGCGGCGCTGAAGTTTTTGTGCATAGTGAACCCTCTGGCGGAACGTCGGTTGAGTTGAGATTGTTGCCGTAGAAAGCTAGGTAAAAGTAGAGGCGGAGGAATCCATAGTCACGGCACAATTGAGAAGGATTTTGTCCGTGGGGACACAATTCTAATTTCTAAGCTCCGATGAGGGGGAAGGACACAACGACAGCTGCAAAGTAGCAGAGGAGAAGCCAGGAGACGCTTAGTAGCGAAAAAGAATCCATGGGACGGCGGCGCCGGCGAGTATCAGCTAACATATAAGTATCCGGAAAATAAAAGTAATTATATTTTATTTTTTAATAATTTTGGGAATGAGGTGGAAAATAAAAATAATTAAATTTTATTTTATTTTTATTTTTGAACTGCCACGTCACTCATTTAACGGTCAACTATAAGAGTTGACGGCCACATCAGCAAAAGTTAACGGAGACTAACGGCCAGTGACCAAACTTGGACTGTTAACCCAATTTAAGTGACTACCGATGAAATAAAGTAATTTCAGTGGTAACGTAAAATTTGTTAGTAATTCAAGTGACCAAACTTGCAATTTAGCCCATTTTATTTACTCTGACTTCCGTATGCCATGGCAATAACCGAATCAATGGATTCTCCGTCTTCCCCTTCTCCGACCGCCTCCAATTTCAGGTTTTCTTCCAATTCCTTCTCCGATTCTCATCCCTCGTTCCTGTTTCAAATTCCACTTCAATGAAGTCACTAACCCTTTCGGCAGTGGCGGCCAACAACAGCGTCACTTCTATCTTGCCGTTGACCGACTTCAGTTCAAGATGGTACGCCTAGTTTTCCCGCAGCTCGTCTCAATTGCCTGAATAATTCTAAAATTTCACTCGCCTTAATGGAAACCCTTTGAATTGTCCGAGCAGGAGATGCTGGTAGATTTGCTAGGTGTAGCCGGCCGCCGCTCTGGAATTCCAATGGCGGTTTGCTGCAGCTCGAGGGACGAACTCGATGCTGTATGCTCTGCAGTCTCCAACCTCCCTGACATCTCTCTTGCGTCTCTGGTACGCACTGCTCATTTCCTTAATTCCCCGTGCAAGTGCTACCACTGGCTTTGAGAATGTCGATTTAGCTTGAATTTGAGTTACAATGGTTTAAAAACATCTGTTGTAAACCATGGCCAGTACAGCGACCTAGCTGAGTCAGAAAGAACCCTAGTCTTGGAGACATTTAGGCAAGCGACCATCAAATGGGCTGAGAGTGCTATGACTAGTGTTCAGTTCGGGGACGATGGTGAGAATCAGAACAATGAGAACAAGTCCCAGATGATAGTTGTAACGGATGCTTGCCTTCCGGGAGTTCTCAGTGGCGAATCATCTATCGCTGCTCGTATCCTGATCAACTACGAGCTACCAACGAAGAAGGTATTTTTCTCCTGATGAGCTACCAATCGTTGCTGTTCGTGTAAACGGTGTAAAGCCTATCTGTGTCGACTGAAGATCATGTGCATTGCATCATCTATTAGCGATGGGTTTTCTTTTTGCCTCCAGTTGGCATATCCATTTGATTTGCATGACTGTTTTTCTAGAATCAGACAAAGCGAATGAAACGCAATTAAGCCTCTTCTAGCTTGATTTCTGCCTTTTCCCTTTCTCTTTTGTCATTGTGTGAGAATAATAGTGGATCGCTAGTTCTTGAAGCAATTGTTATCCGAGCAAATGATCAACCTTGTTTCCTGTACATGTGGCAGCCGTTATGCAACTTCTGCTTACTTTGGTTGCCGGTAGAACAATGTGATATTTGCTCGTATCTGTTAGCATAAAAAACCAAATGATCTTCATCAGATTTCTTATCATGGTTTCTACTGACATGCAGGAAATGTACATGAGACGAGTGAGCACATGTCTAGCTGCAGGTTTGTTTTCTTTGGGATGTTGCGGCAGCTTTTCAACATTGCATGAAGGTCTTTTTTCTAACGCCACGCTTACGCGCTCTATCTGCAGATGGGATTGTTATCAACGTGGTTGCCGGTGGGGAAGTTGTGACCTTGAAGAATGTGGAGGAAAGTTGTGGCCTTCTCATTGCTGAAATGCCTATAAATGTAAGCTGTGTCCTGCATTACTTTGAACCACTTATGGAACAAATCCTTCTCAGGAATAGTACACTGAAGTTTGGTATTTAGATGTCTTTCTTTATGACCGAAATTCAATGTCCCCGGATGATGCAGGTTTCTGAGATACTGTGAGTATGCAATTTTCATCTTCAACGAGGGAGAGTAAGCAGTAGCAACATCGACAAGAGGATTTTGAACTGCTGGATTCCTTCCGACAGTTGAAGGAAGAAGAGAACGCAAGCTCCTCTTCCCTTCATTTATATTCGCATGAGCAGTTAGTAGTTGCAAAAGCTGCTTCAAACTTTAATTAGTTAAAGGGTTAGTGTTTGAGCCGACAGTCCCTATGGTGATACACTATACATTCCCAGATACCTCTTTTGAGGACATTTTGCAGATAGCTCATGAGGCTACTAGCGCTGCTAATGCCGAGAAAGAAGACTCGCCTACAGATGTGGTGGAGCCGTTCTCTCAACTTGCAGAGATGGGAATGTTGCCTCCAGACGAGGAGTTGGTAGAAGCGGCTTGTAAGAGCGCTGAGAGGAGTCCAGATGTGATTATCACGCATGAGAGGAATATGACTGACGAGGAGACAGACCGTCTGTACAGCTACACACCTGAGGAATGGCTTGCAACACTAAAGACCCCAGAGTTCGAGAGATCAAAGAAGAACCCATATGCTTCTTCATCGTTATATTATTTGTCGAAGGATGTGTCGACAAAGCTCGACCCAGTTGCTCGTCGTATGGTTGAGTTCGTCTTCAGTAACCCTGAGGGTAAGGGCTTGGTGGTGCACACTCCTTCAGTTAAACTCGCCCGTCTTCATCTGTTGACATTGAAGCGATTAGAGTGGGTCAATCTACAAGTGGTTGAGGCTTATGGTAATTTCTTGAACGATAAAGCACTTGCTGGTGACAAGAACAGAGTTATCTTTCCGTTCACTTTTGGTGTAAGTAGGCTCTTCACTCACACCTTACAATTTTTAGATATTCAGTAACTAATTAGCTATTATTTTACTTTGCAAACAACAACTTGCCCTACTTAATTCTCAGACGAATGTGCCCCATCCAAGGAGAACCTCGATGCGGTCATTGAACTTACCCAACGGTTTCCAGTCTTCAAACATGTTGTACGTATCGAGATAGAATAAGGATTCACTTACATATTCTACTTTGTCCCATACAACATGTTTGAAGACTTGAACCCGCTGGGTCAGTTCAATGACCGCATTGAGTCTATCCATGGACGAGGGCACATTCGTCTGAGAATTAAGTATGGCAAGTTGCTGTTTGCAAAGGAAAATAATAGCTAATTAGTTACTGGATATCTAAAAATTGTAAGGTGTGAGGTGAAGAGCCTACTTATACCAAAAGTGAACGGAAAGATAACTCTGTTCTTGTCACCAGCAAGTGCTTTATCGTTCAAGAAATTACAATAAGCCTCAACCACTTGTAGATTGACCCACTCTAATCGCTTCAATGTCAACAGATGAAGACGGGCGAGTTTAACTGAAGGAGTGTGCACCACCAAGCCCTTACCCTCAGGGTTACTGAAGACGAACTCAACCATACGACGAGCAACTGGGTCGAGCTTTGTCGACACATCCTTCGACAAATAATATAACGATGAAGAAGCATATGGGTTCTTCTTCGATCTCTCGAACTCTGGGGTCTTTAGTGTTGCAAGTCATTCCTCAGGTGTGTAGCTGTACAGACGGTCTGTCTCCTCGTCAGTCATATTCCTCTCATGCGTGATAATCACATCTGGACTCCTCTCAGCACTCTTACAAGCCGCTTCTACCAACTCCTCGTCTGTAGGCAACATTCCCATCTCTGCAAGTTGAGAGAACGACTCCACCACATCTGTAGGTGGGTCTTCTTCCTCGGCATTAGCAGGGCTAGTAGCCTCATGAACTATCTGCAAAATGTCCTCAAAAGAGGTATCTGGGACTGTATAGTGTATCACCATAGGGACTGTCGGCTCAAACACCTCCTCGTCTGGTGTCTCTACAGTCTTCTCAGCTTCATTCTCCACCACCTCAAATTTATTCTTCTCTTCAGGATCTTCTTCACATTTGTCTCCACTTGTGGCTCGACCTGGTCCTTCTCTAGAGGCTGCTCATCCATTTCCATTTTAGCTTCAATATTCTCCACTTGGTCTTCCACAACCTCTGTTTTAAGCTGCTCTAGCACCTCCTCAACAGTATTCTCCAAATGTCTCCTCCTGGAATCCACGACCTTGAACCTGTCATGCTCTTCCCTCTTTTCTATCATATGTCCCAGTTTTGTTGCAAAGTCCAGCAATTTTCCCATATGCCGGTCAATCCCAGCACCTAGTACCTTAAGCTGGAAGACAAACCAACATTTTGCGCAAATTAAAAACTATATCCAAACTGCTCGTACAATTATCCCATGTACCCAGACTAGTATCAGAAGAGAGCGTACAAATATTTCAGTTGGCAGAATTGATATCCAAAAATAACAAACATTGATTTCACAGAAATATCCAAATGCATAAAATTAATATCCAAACCTCACAAACCAGTATTCATAACTGAAAAGAAACCACAAGCTGATATCCAAATGAAACCAACAAATATTAAAGAACAACAAACTAAAATCCGACTAATATCCAAAGCCATTCCAACATGGCAACGGTGCACGATCTGGAGGAGGAGCTAAACTGCTCGCAGTTGCTGCACTAGTACACCCAATAGCCGCCGACTGGAGCTGCCTGCGAGAGGCGATTTCTTCCCTACTCAGCAGAGCGGCAGCTAGGTCATATCTTCCCCTGACTAAGGGGATAGATGTGCTTGCCCTCTCGACACTTTGCTTCCACCAAAACCGACAGCTAGGTATGGTCTTTGTGTGCAACCCGCCTAGTTTTAGAGAGTCCAGCAGATGGAGCTGTAAAAAAAAATTACAATTAATAAATGTTAAGCTCCATTTCTAGCAATTTAATCAATAAATGCCAAGAGTCAACACAAACAGTATCTTATGTGACTAAACGGATATCCAGAAATCATTTCAAGCTAATTTCTTACAAAACAAAGAGTATCCGAGTTCTGTTAGATGGTACCCAAATACGAAATTCACTAGTTTTCATGCAATTGAACCAACAATTATAGAAAAGGTTAGGACTTACTATCAAGAAGTAGCAATCTCCGAGAACCACACGCACGGCGAGCCCAACGCCTTTGCACTATGTTCTTTTTTCTTGGCAATAGTCAACTCTACTTTCAGTTCACGGACAATAAATGTACACCAATCGTACACCCTCACGTCCTCAACATTCCCACCTAGGTATGGAGCAAAGTCCAGCTTGCACCTCAGAGAAAATGTTGGCAAGAGTATCGAACCAGTAGCTAGCAACAAAAATTGCTTGACAGCAATTGCAACAGGTGGTCTAGGACTGTTGGCTGGAATGGCCAACTCCCGCAGCTTCTTGATAGGAACCATGCGAGCCTTGTTAGGAATCATGCCAACTTCCTCGCTGAAACTATCGAGCATCCCCCCTCAACGTTCTTCAAATCAATCACAGCCCCACCAAGAGGAAGGTCGTACACACGTGCCACATCCTCAGCTGTGAAGTCGAAGACCTTCTTCGAGTCTCCTTCCCCAAAAACAAAATAACTGGATGAGGAGTCATAAGCAGCCATCAAGTCGTCCATGAAGACATTGGGTATCTTCGGCATGCGAAGGTCCAATAGGCCTCCGAATCCTGCCTGCTCGACTTCTTTCTTGCATGCTGCATAGTATCCAACATCTTGTTTCAAGTAGTTTATAATTTTGAAGAGGGAATAGGTGGAGCCACGAAATCTGAAATATGAGCCGCAGGGACCCTCTCCCTCATCATCTTCTTCCTCATCTTCCTCCTCAACTTCTGGAATAGCAGGCGGCGGCTGCCTTGATCCTTCTCCTTGATGAGATCTTGATGCAACCATTTTCGTTCTCTTCATCCCGGGTTGTTCCTGAAACACAGTTATATATTTAGAAAAATATCCATAATCTTTGGACAAATAACTAAAATGCACACTTATATACAATTATTATCGTAGTAAAGCAAAATTGTATCCAAACGAAGATAACTGATATCCCTGAAAATAATATCCATAATACTCAGAAAAATAACTAAAACGAACAGATAAGTATCCACACTAACAGAACTGATACCCACACATCAGACACATTAGATTATTTTTTTAGCCAATACATACAATTATTATCGTAGTAAAGCAAAAGTGTATCCAAACCGAGATAACTGATATCCATGAAAAAAATATCCATAATACCCAAAAAGTAACTAAAACCAACGGTTAAGTATCCACCTTAACATAACTGATATCCACACATCAGACACATCAGATTATTTTTTTAGCCAATATAACTAATCGAGAAACGAAGTGAGAAATCAAACCTTTGGTGGTTGTTCATCCGGCGGCTGCTGTGATGATCCAGCTGCTTCACGAGATTTCGCTGCAGATTTTGGTGCAACAGTTTTGGATTTCTTCCTCACGGGTTGTTCCTGAAACATAGTTAGATATTAAGAAAACTATCCAGCCAAGGAAAATATTAAAATGCATCGGACTAGTAATTTTTAGCCAACATAACCAATCGAGAAACGGAGTGAGAAATGAAACCTGTGGTTGTTGTTCATCCGGTGGCTGCTTTGTTGATCCTTCTCCCTCATTGTTGGGCTTTGAGTTCTTTTTCGGTCTCCCCATTCACTGAAACAATATAAAAAATGATCAGAATAAGTATCAGAAGTGACAAAACTGATATCCATGTAACCTTTAATCAAGGAATCGACAAACGATACCCAGATTCAACAAAATCGTATGCCACAAACCCCCAAAATGGAATTCGAGAAACCATAATGAAACAATATATAAAATGACCAGAATAAGTATCGGAAGTGACAAACTGATATCCATGTAACCTTTAATCAAGGAATCAACAAACAATACCTAGATTCCCCAAAATCGTATCCAACAAACCCCCAAAATGGAATTCGAGAAACCATAAATCTGGTAACTAGAAAAAAAATAAGAGCCCCAAAATTCAAATCCCACAGACCCAAAATCTGGTAATCTACAAATAAAACCCTAAACACCCATATTCTAATCCATGAAACCCTAAATCTACAAATCAAGAAACGAAACCCTAGACCCCCCAAATTCGAATCCTTAAACCCCCAAATTCGAATCCCACGGACACAAAATCTGGTAATCTAGAATCAAAACCCTAAACACCCTAAATCGAATCGCATGAACCATAAATTTTCAAATCCATAAACAAAACCCAGATTTCCACAAAAAAAAATCCATGAAACCCTAACTTACTATCCACAAACAAAATGAACAATAAAGAGAGGAGTAGTCTTCTACCTCAACGTATTTTTCTACCTCCCACTATCCAATAGCGTTAACAGGTGGGATGGTGGTCCACGTCGGAGGGTGTGAGATCACCGGCGCTGTGATGTGAGGAGGGAGATTTTTTTGGGCAAGCCGAGCCACTTTTGGGAGAAGTGGGGCCAGAAATAAAAAAAAACCAAAATTTCAAACCCAAAATCCGAGCTCAACCCGAGTCAGCCATTCTCCCCTCTCTCTCCAACTTTCAAACCCTCTCCCTCTCTGTTTCTTCTTCTCCCGAAAACCACCACCAACAACGACGACGGTTGCGAGGTCGGCGACGGCTTGTTGGATCTCCCGCCGCCGACGACGTTGAAGCTATCCCGACCGACGAGGAAGAAGACGCCGCCGACGAAGAAGGAAGAAGAAGACGCCGCCGACTTCGCCGACGAAGAAGGCCGCCGCCGTCGCCGCCGATGGTGGCGCCGAAGTTAATATGCTAACTTCTTAAAGGGTTAGCAGATACTAACAGGGCATGATTTTGGGCCACGTCGGCCCATGTTTGATCCAACGGAGGAGATTCTCGGTGTGGTGGTGGCTCACTTAAGTGAGTTGAAGGTGGGCCAACGTGTAGAATCCGGCCCAGCGTGCGGCGGCAAAGGAGCCGAGCAAGTGGCGTGGTGGGCTCGGCTTGATTTTGGGCGGGAGAATGGAGAGGAGTGGAAAGAGAACGAAAATTGATGGGCCCATGTGATATTTATGTATGTTTGTTTGTGTGGATATTTATTTGTTCTCAGTCGATATTATTTTCTGTTATGTTGATATTTCTTTGCATCATTGTTGAAATGAACTAGTATTATTCCTTCGCAAACCAATATCCATCATTAAACTAATGTTTAACGGCGGCCCAAAATAACCCAACCACCATAAACTGATTACACCAATTTAGAGTTTAAGTTTTAGGGTTTAGAGTTCTGGTTTTCAATTTGTGAAGGATTGGAATATTGTGTCTTACATCAAATTAAACACACTATCAAGTCCTACACACTATCAAGTCCTAACACATAAGGCTTGCAACCTTAGTTAGGGCTGCCCGCCGAAGGACCATTAAATAATAATAGTTTTTATTTTTTATAGTTTATTTTTTAGGGTTGATGGTTTAGGTTTGGTTTAGGGTTTAGGGTTTACGGTATAGAGGTTAGGGTTAAGGTTTCAACATAAGGGTTTGGGTTCTCTTTTAAGGTTTAAGGTTTAGTCTGGTCAGTATGAATATCTATTCTTTCCTAATTATATTGTTTTTAGAGTTTATTTAGTAGTGTACATTGTTTAGGGTTCGGGGTTAGGGTTTCTGGTTGAAAAATTAACAGCTTATACAAAGTAGGTAATATTAGATAGGAGGGACGTTTAATGTTTCAACAAATCAATATATACTTCTATGTTCTATGTCGTAACAATTTAGCTGACGTATGATAATACGAATAAAGTAGGTAATATTAGATAGAAGGGACGTTTATTTGAACCTGAGGAAATATTCCTTTAGTTCATGTGTTTAGATATTTGTGTGTAACCTTTGAATATTCTCGGCTTGGGCAAACAATAATAGTTTTATTTTTTTAGTGTTTAGTGATTAGGGTGATAGAGTTTAGAGTTTAAGGTTTAGGGTTGGGGTACAAATAGAAGATATTAGTTGGTGTGTTCTGGATACTTGTCTTTCTTAGTTGTAATACTTTTTACTAACCTACTGATATTCATTCAAAATATTTTGATATTTGTCCGGGTTGTGTGGATATTTATTTGAACCCGAGGAAATATTCTCGTAGTTCATGTGTTTGGATATTTGTGTGGAACATTTGAATATTCTCGGCTTGGGCAAACAATAATAGTTTTATTTTTTTAGTGTTTAGTGATTAGGGTGATAGAGTTTAGAGTTTAGGGTTTAGGGTTAGGGTACAAATAGAAAATATTAGTTGGTGTGTTCTGGATACTTGTCTTTCCTAGTTGTAATACCTTTTACTAACCTACTGATATTCATTCAAAATATTTTGATATTTGTCCGGGTTGTGTGGATATTTATTTGAACCTGAGGAAATATTCCCTTAGTTCATGTGTTTGGATATTTGTGTGGAACCTTTGAATATTCTCGGCTTGGGCAAACAATAATAGTTATATTTTTTTAGTGTTTAGTGATTAGGGTGATAGAGTTTAGAGTTTAGGGTTAGGGTACAAAAAGAAGATATTAGTTGGTGTGTTCTGGATACTTGTCTTTCCTAGTTGTAATACTTGTTACTAACCTACTGATATTCATTCAAAATAGTTTGATATTTTTCCGGGTTGTGTGGATATTTATTTGAACCTGATGAAATATTCTCTTAGTTCATGTGTTTGGATACTTGTGTGGAACCTTTGAATATTCTCGGCTTGGGCAAACAATAATATTTTTATTTTTTTAGTGTTTAGTGATTAGGGTGATAGAGTTTAGAGTTTAGGGTTTAGGGTTAGGGTACAAATAGTAGATATTAGTTTGTGTGTTGTGGATACTTGTCTTTCCTAGTTGTAATACTTTTTACTAACGACGTGATATTTCTTTAAAATATTTTGATATTTGTCTGGGTTGTGTGGATATTTATTTGAACCTGAGGAAATATTCCCTTAGTTCATGTGTTTGGATATTTGTGTGGAACCTTTGAATATTCTCGGCTTGAGCAAACAATAATAGTTTTATTGTTTTAGTGTTTAGTGATTAGGGTGATAGAGTTTAGGGTACAAATAGAAGATATTAGTTGGTGTGTTGTGGATACTTGTCTTTCCTAGTTGTAATACTTTTTACTAACCACATGATATTTCTTTAAAATATTTTGATATTTGTCCGGGTTGTGTGGATATTTATTTGAACCTGAGGAAATATTCATTTAGTTCATGTGTTTAGATATTTGTGTGTAACCTTTGAATATTCTCGGCTTGGGCAAACAATAATAGTTTTATTTTTTTAGTGTTTAGTGATTGGGGTGATAGAGTTTAGAGTTTAGGGTTTAGGGTACAAAAATTTGATATTAGTTGGGCTATTGTGGATATTTGTCAGTCTTTGTTGTAATATGTTTTACTTATTTCTTGATGTTTGTTTGTATTATTGTGATATTTGTTAGGGTTTCTTGGATATTTCTTTGAACCTAAAGAATATTCAGTTATTTCTTGTGTTGAATATTTGTGTGGATTGTTGAGATACTATTCGTGGTGGCGTGGATACTTGTTATGGTGAACATCTTAGTATGGGTGGGCCCGAATCAGAATTGGGTGGGCTTTTGGGTCTTTTCAAAAAATGGGGGAAATAATAGAAGTGATAGGGCAATTAATGTCACAACCACTTTTTCTCTCTCAACTCTCCCAACCCCTCCTTCTTTCTTCTTTTCTCTGAATTCCCTCTTCTTTTCTCCGACGGAAGAGTCGCCGGCAGCGGCCTGTCTCTTTCCTCTTCATCATCCGGCGTCCAGGAAACTTTGCTAATGATGATTGATGATGAGGCCGAGTTAGATCGTCCATCAACGAGCTCGTCCCATGAAAAATAAGAATTTTTTGATGGTGTATTAGAAGGTTTGACTCAAATAAATGGTGGTTGTGTGTTTGGCTTCGATGCAACAGTACAAGAAGAAGAAGAACGTGATTGTGGATTGACATATTTATAAGTTTGTGTTGTTGAGTTTTGGTTGGGACCATTGAATGAAATTTAATGTCTTTGGTGTGAGTTTAATGTTTGTTGGTCATCTGGGATTCTACTATGAGCTAGTTGGATACTAGTTACCTACTGTTTGTTGGATGTAGTTTGTAGCCTATGTTTAATTTGTGTGGATACTAGTCTGGGCATATTTTATGTTCATTTAATTATTGTGGATACTAGTATGTCGGATTATAGTGTGGATACATATTTGGAGCAATCGGATACTAGTTTAAGATTCACGGATACTACTGTTTACGGATATTTGTTACACGTATTCTGGGAATTACTCTGGGCACATTGGATACTAACTGGCAATGGAAATAGATTCGCAACATTTGAGAAAAGGAAGAATTCTGAAGGAGAGGTGTTGGA